TTAAAACAAAATGGTCGCCAGTCGGCCATTTCAAACCCGATCCAAAAAAAAAATGACATGCATCAAGGTCCTATTATGTTTAATGTATGTACCAAATTTGAACGAAATCCGTCCATGCATAACTGAGATCCGGGTTCGGAATGGAGAAAATGTGTGATTTTGATGCATTTTCGGCCTTAAAATGGCCGCTATTCGGTTATCGTTAATCGGATCATGAAAAAAATGCATGTGCACATGTCTCATATAATGTGTGATGTATGTGTGAAGTTTGAACTTAATCGGTCCATGCATGTTCGAGATACAGGTGATCACGGACGCACGCACACACGCACGGACGCACACAGGGCAAAACATAAGTCCCCGTTTTCGGACTACGTCCGAACGGGGACTAAAAAGAGGAGCGCATCTACATGCAATCAAGCTACAACAGCAGGGCTTCACCATCTAATAAAGTTGTCCATTCAAAAAAAATTATAGCGAGATAACTTGTAAATAGCACCCCCACAGCTCAATCACAGATCAGAGTTTCAGTATGGCAGCATTATTTTCCAAAAGATTATTTCGTAAAGTAACAGTAAAACAAGCAGCCTCTCGGCTGAGATAGCTCCGCTGTTAGCAATGCACATTTCAATTAAAGAACAGAAGATATCATTAGAAAATGAACAATATGCATAGTATCAATGCAATGGGACTTGCTGTTTTCAACAAGAATTCAAAATTATCATTTTTCACCATAAATGATTGTGGTTTTTAACAAGAAAATATCACTTTTTACCAAAAATGAGAGTAGTCCACATGTGGTACCTATATATGTAATATCAAAGCAATTGGACTTATCGTTTGTAACAAGAAGTTGAAAATATCACTTTTTACCAAAAATTACAAATATATTCACCAAAATTAGAGAATTGAAGATATGATCATGAAATGAACAAATCTGAGAGAGGTCTACCCAAGGTACATATACACCAAGTACGGACGACGACGGACAATCACTCATATGATAAGCTCCGCTCAACAACATTCAAATATTAGAGTGGGAACCTACATAGACACTGAATCTGACCACAAACAGTTTTCAGAAAGATTTTCCTATTTACCCCTACATGTATCCTAACATGTATAAGCTATGTACCAAATTTGAATGAAAACTGACAAAGCATGTCCAAAATACAACATTTAAAAAAAACAAGATGGCTGCCAGTCGGCCATTTTGAATCGAATCGCTAAACCACTGCATGTGCATATGTCCCAGGTAAAGTACTAGACACATGCAAAGAATGAACGGAATCGGTCCAAGGGATTCTGAGATACGACTCCGGACGGACGGACGGACGGACGGACAGACGAACGAACGCACAGACGGAGACCGAATTATAAGTCCCAGTTTTCGGACTTCGTCCGAACGGGGACTAATAAAAGTCAACTTAGTTTCATCGTAAGCGAATGATTCCGGTCTCATATAAACGTTCGATGCTGTAGGATATCCGCCATGTTCTCTTAGGTCAAATTGGTCAAATCGCTAATTAACCAATCAAAAAGCTGGATGATGCCAACGTGTTCAAATTACAATAGCTTATTTAAACATGTTAATGTTATTGAACGCAATGCGGAAGAGATTGGATGTTGTAGTACGATCTTTTGGCTTGGATTTTGATGCGAAAACTGCATGATTTTTTTTTAAATCAAAAAATTAGTTTTTAAAAAATCAACTGGGCATTTGAAGAATAATTTAACATTGTTTACAGTGATAACAGCTCATTGTCGAAACGAAGCTTACCCGTTCACGCTAGTCATGATAAAAATCATACTCTTGAATAGACGTCAATGACTACGGTAAAACTTAGACTATTTTAGCCGTCAGGAATGATTGAAATGTCCGAAAAATGACTCCAAAATACACCTTAAAAGTTTATTTTTTAATCCAAGGGCGAATTTACGGCAGATTCTGGTCCCTCAAATTTGATTCTAACCGGATACATTGCACTGTGTCGGGGAGATAGTTTGCTAAACTTCCATGTATCTTTTGTCCAATGGGTACCTGTACTTCGAACATTCGCAAGTTTTCCTAGGTGCGAGACAGCTTTGTCTTTTGACCTATTAGTTTTGTGCCGACCTCTTCTCCGCCTTGATGTTTTGTTTTCCTTGTCATAATACTCACTGATTGATGACTTTGTTTTGATTTTGAGTTGGTTAGCCTACAACTAGGCCATGACCTTTGCTTTTACCGTGAAACATGGGGAAGTTTACGTCAATTGACGGACATTGTATTTTTTAAAAACTAACGAAGCACACTGTCTATCATCCCCATTTGCTGATTTCTATTCTGAAAAATTGGACTGTCCGAAAATGCACCCTAATTTTGACTCTAAAAACACGTCACATACCCAATGCTAATTATTTAAAACCGGTCAAAATTTTGGAGTTTTTACGGTACCCATTTTTGAGGAAACCTATAGTTATCTAGAGGGGCATATTCAACTGAATTGGGGGGGGGGGGTACATTGGAAAGTTTTCACACTATCATGGCTTGCTTTTTTGAATGGAACAGGAAATGTGCATTTTTTTTTTTATTTGTCATTTGTTTTCATTCTTGTACAGTACAACACCATGTAGAAAAAGTATTCTTAGTTATACAAATTATGTTGTGGAAAATGAACTTGTGATTAAAACATTATGGTTAACAGACACAATTAACCGCTTATACAGCATCAGCGACTCCTAAGTAATTTAAGATATAAAACTCACCCAACCATCATATCTTCCCTGCCAGAATGCCTTATGTTAACATCGGCGCCACCTTTACGAGTACTTCCTAAACCACCACCTAGGCAAAATCAAATAGCAATGATTAAATAGTTAGCCTTTGGCTGCAGCAATTAGACAAACAGTTTTGAATGGATAGATTTAAAAGATTTATCATGCATCAACATTGAGTGCTTCATAATAAAAAATACTTCATTCAAGTTTGTTTGACCCCCTACTACCATACCGTACTTTGCTCACAAGTACCCAACTTGAAAAATTGGCCAAAAGGATTTTCATTCACTATGTGCCAGATGAGGGGGAATAGAACTTTTGGTGGAATTAAAATTGCGAAATAGAGAAGCATAGTCATTGTTTTCTACAGCACGATAAAACAATCCCAAAAAACACATTGTAGTACAATATTATTATAGTGTAAAATTATTGGGGGGTCAGTGGGAAAATGGTCAAAGTCATTATCTTCGTTGAATGTTTCGATTGTATGCAAACTTTCGATGTTGTGCAATTTCCGACATTGTGTTTTCTCACACGATTTGACCTGCAACATCAACCTTTGACTTGTTAGGTCAAGTCTGGTATTAAACAACCAGAATGCAGTGTTGTATCAACGCAACTCTGGCAATTTCCAAGGGAATTCTTGTAACAATGCGAAGTGAATTAGCCATGTTTATGTATGACCTGTTAAAATTATTTTGACAAAACAGCATTATTTTTAGGGTAATTAGCAATTTTTGAAAGATAAAATGAATATGGAATGAGCTTTTACTGCCTTTTATGATTAACAGGTTGTTGTCAAAGCATAGTTTACGCATCACCATGGTCTACACATTCGCACGATATTCATGGTGGTTGATATTCACGCTGTATTGTATAAATTTGATTACCATTATTTGGGGGAATTAAAAAACAAAATCAAACAATGTCCAAAGTCCAGGTTTTATGACCAGATCGTCAAACTTGAAGCATTTCGGAAGGGATGTTAGCTGAACCCCAAAACAGAAATGCCCAAAAAGTTGAGTAGGCGCTTAGTCAAGCATGGGTATGGTATTTATCAACCACGTTAAAATAAAATATGTCTATATGAATAAAATTTTTAATACCATTACCTGAACCAATTTACAAGATATCAAACCTACCTAAGCGTCTTGGCAGCCAACCTTTAACTGTCCTTGCTCTTTCCACATCAACCAGGACTCTTCTTCCATCAATCTTCTTTCCATCAGCATATTTATAAGCCGCTGTTAGAAGGGAAATAGTCAAGTCCAGATATAACACAACATAGTATACTTACATAACATTACCTGAGCAGCAGCAGCAACACTCTGCATCAAACAACATAACTTGCTTTTTTAACAGCATGTTTTAAAGTGTCGCTAGATCAGAATTTTCAACCAATTGTAAATTTCACTTGTAAGTAGATTAGCCAGTGTTTTCATAGATCTATCACTGCAGATTTTTGTGTTTAGATCAAATGTAGTCAGCATATTGACTACTGAGAAATATCAAAACAGCAGGAGTAACTGCGCGACACCTGTAAAATGTGGGTGGGTGAGAAGGAGCATTAGTCATTAGACGGTGCTGTGTGAAAATAATACTTACTAAGTAGGACACGTACATCAAAGGGGCAGATTTAAAGTACTGTTGGGTTGCACAAAGCCACGTTACAGTGGAGGAAATTTGAATGGTGGAAAAGGATGAGCCATTGGACAAATGTGTTGAAATATAAAGTATGCAAGTGAAACAAGTTTTGTTCAAAAGCAAATGGCAATACTGAATAGTATGGAGTCAATTCTAGCTATAAATTGGTTTGAAAGTGAATCGGTTTAAACCTTTAAATCTTAATGATATTTTACACAAAAACATCAACATCACAGCTGTAAGTAGACTGCCAATATTTCAAAAATCATAAACGATGTTTTGTATTTGTAACATAAAATTTGTGATATAAAAACTAGAACTAGACTGATATTGTCACAAATTTGAATTGCTATTAATGACAGATAAATCAGGACAGGTCCATTTTATTTTTGGATTATGGCAAATTGCATCCCACATTAAAGGTGTGCCCTTGTGCTTTATCAAGTGTTACAATGGACAATTTCCAAAATATTTTAAAATTAGCTGAAAAGTTAATTTTGTCAAAAAC